AAGAATGCAAAACCAATGGAAGGAAACTTATTTGGTACTCAGAATGTGTCACCACCGATGCAGCAGAGTTCGTTATCGTTGGATAAACAGAGGGCTGAGTTAGCTAGGAAGCATGTGAGAGCTCTTAATAACCAATTTGTAAGGTGAACAGTTGTTTCTTTATCATGCAAAAGATTTTGTTCTGATGATAGCTACTTCTTTGTTTATACCTTTAGTAATAAGAAAATTGATTATGCTTCAATGTGAAAAACAGTTGGGTGCAATTACAGCTTAAGAATCATCCTGATGAACTTTGGGAAGATGGTATGAATGACTACATTAGCCATGCTTCAAACATTCTGGTAAATTCTCTATGACTTCTTCTTCTTAACGCTTAAGAAGGTATTTGGTTTCTCCTGAATGTCAGAGGGCCGAGGCTTCTTTTTCTCGGAATGAAGAATACTTTTCATGACGATGGTTTTGTCCATTGATTGACTGACTCATCAAGAATGCTAATTTTCTATTATGTCTCAAGTTTCGATTTCCATATATATTGAAAGGATAAAGTAGTTAACTCCTAGAGTCTCTTGCTTCTGTTTTGATATAACTTTTGTTAGTTCACTAGTTCATCAGTTCTACTTCATGTGGATTCTCGCGCAGGATAAGTTTAGGGATGTGGTCAACTGGCTAAAAGAAAATAAAGGAAAGGGGGAGAATGCATCCCCTGAATCCCGTGTGTCCCCTGAATCTCGTGGAGCAGAGAAGAAATTAGCGGCTGAAGTCAAGAATAGCGACGTTAAATCAGTTTCAAATAACAACCTGTTTGCTTCAAACAATCAACCTGGGCTCTTCTCAACCAATCAATCTTCCATTTTTTCGAGTAGTCAGTCTGGTTTGTTTTCAAGCCAACCTGGAGTATTCTCTAGCAGTCCATTTGGTGTAACATCCAATAGCCAAACTGAATCTTTTAGCAGTGGCCAGTTTGGTTTGACCAAAAGCAGCCAACCTAACATCTTTTCCAGCAGTCAAGCAGGAGGAATGTCTAATAGCCAATCTCCTTTCTCGTTTTCGAATAATCAAAAACCTTTTTCATCTGGAGGTATCTACTTTTCCATAAGCAGAATGCACTTATTGAACTTGTCATTGATCAGCTTTGTATATTTAGGACAATAGTTTAACTCAGAGACCTGACCTGTACTTTCAATGTTTGCTGGTATTAGTGACTCCAGTGTCCATACCGGCAAAGCGGGATTGCACAGATGACGCAGACGGTGGTGAGTGATGAGTATTCTGTTTTCTTGCTGTTTTGTTTTCCTTCTTCTTTGAAAGGTTCTGTTAGGAATTACCACCTTAAACTTATTTTAAACCACAATTTTAATCTATTTATCTATTCCGAAGTAATCTGGAGGTAATTATCTATTACAAATCTTGAGGCATAATGGGCGTGTAAACATCGGATTTTTTACTCTGCAGAAGATGAACAACCTCAACCGAGCAGTCCATCTGTTAAAAAGACTGAAGAGAAGGGTGTTACTGTGGTTCATGAAGTCAAATGCAAACTTTATGTTAAGGTATTTGTTATCTGAAAAGTTTAATGTTCTCTTTCGACTGGATCTACAATATTCTTACTTTTTAGCAGCCTCGCTATACTGTTCCAAATACTTTGCCGTTGTGCATAAATATAACTTTGGTGATGTAATATGAATAACCATGACGAGGATGTAGCATAAGGTTGTTTAGAGATGGAAATGTTCTTCCCTATTTAATTTTGATCCTCAAAGTCCTCTTAGGTGTAATATTGCTTGTAAAGGAATTTCTTCTCTCTCTTTCTTCTTTAGTTACCTTGATGTTCTGTTCGTGCTGATGACCGTAGTAACTTGTTTTAACCTTTGTACCTATGCAGTCAAATGATCCAACAGATAAAGGTACATGGAAAGATAAAGGAACTGGGAATCTCTACATAAAATGCCAAGAAGGCGTCGACAAGGGGACAAAAGAATCTAAACCCACAATCCTTGTCCGAAACGATGTATGATTCAACT